TATCCAAGGGAATAAAAGTATATATTCACACAAATGTCCTCCAAGTTTCCTAGCAGCTTTATTTGTATTAGCTAAGAACTGGAAACAACACAAATGTCATCATCAGGTGACTAGATAAACTAATTATTGTATATCCATATGATAGAATTCGATTCAACAATAAAAAGAAATTAACACTAAAACTCATGTTTTAATTTCAAAACAATCTCAAAACAATGCTGAGTGAAATTATTTATAAGAAAATTGAGTACATACTGTATGATTCCATTTATATTAAATTCTATGAAGTGCACACTAACCACAGTGACAAAGCAGGTAAGTGGCTGCTTGTGGGGAATGAGGTTGAGAACTAGATTACAAAGCGACACAAAGTTTTTTTGGTATGTTCATTATCTTGATCATCATGATGATTTCATTGGTTTTTATAAATGTCAGAATTAATCAAATTGTACATCTTGAATATATGAAGTTTATTGTATGCCAATTATATCTCATTAAAATTGGTAAGAAAAGATTTTTACATCAAAAAATATTTTAAAAGATGCCCTTCCAATTGGAACTTTAAAACAATCTATAGTTAAACAATTGAGTGATAATTAAGATACAAATAATAATTAAAGGAGCCTGAAAAAAAAAGATAATTAAACCACTAAATATCCTATCTGTAAAATATATTTAAAACAGTAATCAGAGGACAATATATGGCTATAAACATTGTATCTCTAAACATGGAGGAATGAAACTAAATTCAAAAATATATAATATTCCCCTAAAAAGTACAAGAAAGAAGATATAACAACTATACATTATATGTACCTAACAACAGAGCCCCCAAATATATGAAATAACAACTGCTAAGTTGAAGGGAGAAATAGACAATTCAACAATAATACTTGGATACCTCAGTATATCATTTTAATAATGGCTAGAATAACTAGACAGGAGATGATCAACGAAACAGAAGGCTTGAACAACACTATAAAATAACTGGACCTAATAGACATCTATAAAACACTCAATTGAACAGTATATGTTCTTCTGAAATCCACATGGAACATTGTCCAGTACAGACCATAAGTTTGGCAATAAAAGAAGTCTCAGTAAGTATAAAAAATAAAATTATAAAAAGTATCTTCTTCAATCACAATGGAATAAAATTAGAAATCAATAATGAGAAGAAATTTGGAAAGTCACAAATGTGTAGAAATCAAACAAATTCTTAACCAATCCAATGGCTCAAATAATAAATCATAAGAGATACTTGAAAATTCTCTGATATAAATGAAAACAAAACCAAAGCATACCAAAATGTATGGATACAACAAAAGTAGTATTTAGATGAAAATTTTTCATTGCAAACATCCACATTAAAAAAGAATAAATATCTCAAATCAATAACCTAAGTATATAATAAACTAGAAAAAGAAAAAAGCTAAATTCAAAGCAAACATAATAAAGGAAATAATAGAGTAAAGTGTACATAAATGACATAGAGAAAAGAAAAACAATAGAGAAAATGAACAAGCACAAAAAATGGTTCTTTAAAAAAAATAAAATTAACAAAATCAAAACTTTAGACTTACCAAGAGAAAAAAGAGGACTCCAATTACTAAAATCGGTAATAAAAGAGAGGACATTACATTGATCTTACAGAAATAAATGGGGTTATAAAGAAATCATATGAGCAATTATATACCAACAAATTAGATAACCTAAATGAAATAGACAAATTCCTAGGAAGACACGAACTACCAACTGACTTATGAATACATACAAGCATAGACACATAGCTCAATGGAATCAAATGTAGGGTCCAGAAATAAACTCATATACTTATGGTTAACTGATTTTTCTCCAAGGGTCTCAAGACCATTCAGCAGAGAAAGAATTATATTTTCAACAAATTGTGCTGGGAGACAGCTGGATAAGCACATGTAAAAGAATCAATTTGGACCTCCACTCACAACATGTACAAAAGTTAGTTAAAAATCATAAAAGACCAAACGTAAGTGCTAAAACTATAACTCTTATTAAAAACAACAAATCTTCATAATCTTGGATTTGGCAATAGAGCCTTAGATAGGATACCAAAAACACAAGCAACAAAAGGAAAAACAATAAATTGGGCTTCGTCAAAATTGAAAACTTTTGTGCATTGAACACTATCAAGAAAGTGGAAAAACAACCAACAAACTGAGGGAAATTATTTGTTAGCCATATACCCTGTGAGAAACTTCCTATGAACTAAATACTTCCCCCAAATTCACGAGGCAGAGCCCTTATGAATGGGATTAGTACCCTTATAAAAGAGGCCTGAGAGAACTCCCTTGTTACTTCCACCACATAACCCAAATATATACTTTAATAAAGTATATAGGACACATTGCAAGATGGCCATGTATGAACCAGGAAGTAGGCCTTCACTAGACACTGAATCTGCTGGCAGCTTGATCTTTAACTTCCCAGTCTCCAAAATTGTGAGAAATAAATTTCTGTTGTTTCTAAGCCATCCAGTCTATGACACTTCGTTACAGCATCACAAACAGACAAAGCCAGGTCTAGGACTGTGAATATATAAATAACTCTTAAAATTCAACAACAAACCAAAATCAATAACAAACCAAAAGATACAGAAATCAATTTTTTTCAATTGTCAAAGGACTAGAACAGATATTTCTCTTAAAAGACATACCAAGAAAATATAGCCAATAAATACATAAGAGGATATTCAGAATCTTTAGTAATTAGGGAAATGTAAATCAAAACCATAATGAGATAACACTTCACACCTACTAGGATAGCTATAATTTAACAATCACAGCAAAAAGAAAACAAGTGTTGACAAGGATGTGGAGAGATCAGAACCCTTATATATTGCTGGTAGAAACACAAAATGGTTTAGCCACTGTGGGAAGCATTTTGGCAGTTCCTCAAAAACCTAAATATAGGATTACCACATGACCCAGCAATTCTACTCCTAGGTACATATCCAACAGAACTGGAAACATGTCCAAACAAAAGCAGGTGTACACAATGTCCATAGCAGATTTATTTCTAACAGTCAAAAAGTAGAAACAATCCAAATGTCCATCAACTGGATACACAATATATTGTATATCCATGCAGTGGAATATAAGCCTTACCAATAATGAAGTACTGGCACAGGCTATGATACGCATGAACCTTGAAAACATTATGCTAATTGAAAGAAGCCAAACACAAAAGGTTATCTATGGTATGACTCCATTTATATGAAATGTCCAGAACAGGTAAATCCATTGAAACAGAAAGCCAATTAGGTAGGATGAAGGGAGGGCAGAATGGGGAGTGGTTGCTTAATGAAGTGTTAGTCTGTTCTATCACTGCTATAAAGAAACACTTGAGACTGGGTGATTTATAAAGAAAAGAAGTTTCTGCTGCACTCCAGCCTGGGTGACAGAATGAGACCTGGTTTCAAAAACAAACCAACAAAAAAAAGGTTTAATTGGCTCACAGTTCCACAGGCTGTACAGGAAGCATACATAGCAGCTTCTGCTTCCGGGGGAGGCCTCAGGACACTTCCAGTCATGGTAGAAGGCAAAGGGAGAGAAAGCAGCACTTCATACGGCCAGAGCAGGAGAAAGAGAGGGAGGACGGAGGTGCTACACACTTTTAAACAACCAGATATCAGGAAAATTCATTATTGCCATGACAGCATCAAAGAGGATGGTATTAAACCATGAGAAATCACCTCTATGATCCAATCACCTCCCACTAGGCCCCACCTCCAACATTGGAGAGAATTATTTGACATGAGATTTGGGTAGGACACAGATTTAAACCATATCAGTGTGTATGGAGCTTGAGTGTGATAAAAATATTCTGGAAGAGAGTTAGTGATAATGATTGCACAATTTTATGAATGAACTGAAAGCCACTAAATTGTACACTTAATACTGTAAATTCTATGCTACATTAATTTTATATTAATTTTTTAAAAATGGATATGGGAGGCTCAAATATAATGGTACATTTGAACTTTTCATGACAAGGTCTTTCAAAACACTTGCCCAATAAATATAAATATATGGGCATCCCCCAGTTGGCCTTTAAGGCATTCTCTTCTCATTGGCCGAGAGCGTTCTCATCTGCTCAGCAACTTTCTCCCGTTGGCCGGACCCTTGATGCTGAGGCTTTGAAGCAGAGCCTGGGTTTTCCAGGCACTGCAGATAAGCCGGTTTTAGCAAACCCTCCAGTTAGGACTCTGGGTCCCCAGGAGCCGACTGAGTCTGTTCAAGCATTTCTCTCTAGTGCCAGGCCTTTGGTTGGTGGGAAAAGGTCAGAGGGTGGCACTGGGGCCTCTATTTGCAGTCTTACTCTTAACTCTTGCGAGGCCTCAAAACAAGTGCCTTCTGGGTGGTACTTTCCAATGGGGTAAAATAAAAAGACTCCAGGGTCACAGGCACCCAGGGTTCAATAACCTGGTAAACAGAGAGCAGGAGACAGTACCAGCATAGCCCAAACTCTGTCGGGCCTGTCCCCCTCAGAAGCCAGGACATGGCCAACCTAAATTCTGGAAGGCCTCGTCTCCCATGGCCCCAACAGGCAGTGCTCATCATCAACGACTTTCCACCAAGCCCGCCCTCTGCATACTGCATGTACTCCAAGAGTTCCCTGCCCCCACCCCTGCCCAGGAAGGCTGGTCTGGGACCAATCAGAGGCTGTGGAACTTTCTGGAAAGCCCAAGGCTCCTCCCTGGGTGGGGCACAGCCTCTGATTGGAGGAGGCCTGCCGGGAAGGTGGGGTAATGGGCGTGGCTAACGGTATAACTGCCCGAGCAGAAGACAGTTGGCAGTTATTTCACGGCCTTCATCTGTTCGGGCAAGATGCCTGTAGCCTGACTTCCTCCTTGACAGGCTGATTTAGGGGTGCTCCCCAAGAAGATCAGAACTGCTGAAAGAATGAAGAAGAACCTCCTTGGCCCAGGATGTGGATAGAGAACGGAGCGCATTTTCACTTACCTGGCAAGGTGGTTTTGGAAGTTTCCACGGAAGCCTGCCCCGGGCCGCTGCTGCCCGTCCTCGCCTAGGTGTGGAGCTTCCCAACCGGCTGGGGAGGGAATGTCCTGCGGGAGCCGCCGAGGACCCTTGTGAGCCTCTTCCCTGGCTTGGCTGCAGCTGCAGTCTGGTACTTGCCCATTCTGCTCTTCTTCACCTCCGTATTTTCTCTCTCATGGAAGAAGAATTCCATTCTCCCATCCCAGGAAGGAGAGTGCCCTGCGTGCCATGAAAGAGCCCAGGACCCACAAGACAAGTGCGTCACTGACAGACCTGCCTTCGCCAGCGCCAGCCCATCTATGAAACCTCCAGCATTTGTGCCCCAGACTGGCCCCTCCCAGGCCTGACTCTTTCTGTGTGGGTATTTTCCTCCTGGGCTCGCTGCCGCCTCGCTCCCATTTCTCCCTTCCCTCCCTATGGTGACTGGTGAAGGGTTGGGGCGGGTGGAACCCAGATCTGGGGTCAGAAGGTCCCCTTGCCAAGCCCCAAGTTTTCCATCTAAGCCGTGTGCTCATGGGAAAGACACCTTACCCTTTGTGGGCATGTCCGCTCAACTGGAAAGTGACACAATCATAATGCCCTAATCCAGAATTCTTGTGAGAATGGGCGTAATTATGTAAATATCTTTTGAAAACAGATGTGCTGCCAATTACATTTTGTGATTTTAACTTTGTCTTGTTTCTCTGCTGTGTTTTGTCTTCGTATGTATCAAGTTTCTTCTGATTTTTTTTTTTTTCTTTTATAGGAACGGTCACTGCCCAGGATCAAGCTACAATGAAGAGGAGGGAGGCAGTCTGCACGCACCGCCATTTTTCTAGGAACTGGAAAGCGCCTCCCGCTCCCCCCGCCCTTAGGAAGATCCATCCTTGTGGAACCTTACCCAGGCTTACCAGCCTTTGCTGAGCTTGATCTATTTGGACTAGTATCAGTCAGTAGGACTTGAGACGTTGGTTCTCTACACTTGCACCCTCCTTGTCCCCATCAAAATATCCAGTACTCTACCTCCAGGGAGTAGACTTGACCCTCAAATAGCAAGTTCAGCCTTCCCAGGTCTAGGTTCCCTGGGGGTTTAAGATTCGTATGGTTCCTTAGTATAGAGGGCTAGCTGTGAGATGGAATCCCACTATGAGCTTTAGAATCAGTCAAGAAGAACTGGGCCCCTTCCCTTCATCCCTCCTCTTTTCCCTTTTTGTCCCAGAGCTCAGCTCTGACTCAAAGTTTTTCCATTTACCATCAACATGGAAACTTGGCTCCCCACATGGGTATATTATCCCCCTTTTGTACATGGTCTTGTTGATCAAAACTCCCTTTCTGTGAAAGAGGCCTGTGGGGCTCAAGAAGCCTGGTCAACCAGCCAGGCTAGTCCCACATACCTCAGAACCAGTTTAATAAAGGCTCTATGTCATTCTTTTTTGTTTGGGCTGAATGGTGTGCTGATTCAGAAGACTTTGATATTTTATTCTTTTCCCCAAACCAGCTCAATTGGTGTTTGTGCTAGAGGGAGATGGACAATGGGGAGGGCTGTTATAAGGGATGTCCTTGGCCCTCCCACCTCCCCCTTTGAAGGATGCCCTCATTGTCTTAGGCAGGGACCTGATACCGGTTGGTTTAGTGGATACCTGGCAGTTTACTCTGATCATTTACCTTGTATTAGGGCAAGAACTAAAGGAACAAATATATCCACCTGAATGTCAGGTCAAGTGGGAGGATGTGGATGGGAGTAAATAGTGATTAGTATTGAGGTCCTGGAATTTTACTGGTTACTATTTTTATAACTTTGGTCTTCCAGTCCTTGAATGAAGGTAAATGGAGACTTCTTAGGGAACAAATTACTAGTGGCAGGGTGGTGGTGTCCTGGTATCCTGCTTAGAATGTGAAGAGAGTGCCCCATCATTGGCATATGCTGTGCGTCTGGCAGGTGGTAGCCAACTGTCCTGGACTGCACAACTGGTAGTGAAATTCATAGCAGAATGCAACGTTCATTTACTGGGGCCTCACAGTTGGCCAGTGTCCCTGTGGCCTTTCCCCTTTTTCCTTCCACTCTGTGTCATGGAGACCCGACTTGATTTGGCAAGAGAACAACGTACTCCTATGATTTCCCGAATATTTCCCAGCAAGGACCCTGGTTGGCTGTGTTTCTACTTCAGTAGTGACCACAGCAGATACTGGCAGTTTTCTGTTATGGCTGTGGGGTCTTTTAAGGAGCAGGAACGGTGGAATATGTACAAACCTGGAGCCACAATCAAGTACTGAGCTCCTTGAAGCACAAGGCATGAGAATATCATGTTTTCTCTTCCTTAGAGGATTTATGAATTAAAACTAAGGAATAATTTGTAATCAGAATAACACCACCTGGCAGGGATATTGATGAGCTGAGGAAGGCTTATTTGGAGATTTCTGGTATTTTCCAGCTCTGAGATTCCAGACCTAATATCCGTGTAATGGCCATTAATATCTTGTAATTTTAACAGTTTTATCGGTGATCCATTACATTAATCATCATGAGTTGGTGACTTCTCAAATCCTACAGGTTATTTGTTATTTGTATAACTGTATAGGGCTATTTAATTTACAAACACAATACTCTTTTGAGGTAGATACCAGAACCATTTTACATTTGAGGATATTGAAACCAGGAAAAATACTCAGCTCTTGAAGGAATGGACATGGGGTGCCCTTGCCTTCCTTGGGGAGAGAGCCACCTCCCCTATTCTGTGCAGTTGTAGTTAGGGCCTGCCACCTTACTCCTCCCCTCTCCATCCAACCGCTACATTTTAGAAAAGGCAGCAGTAATCTGGGAATTATTTAGTACTTAGTTTGAGATGACAAATTTTAAGGACCCTAAGAGCAACCTTTTATTTCTTACCATATGAGGCACTAGGACAGGCACAGAGAATATTATTTGCCCAGTGCATATCTTCATGGCTTCTACTTTTTAATTTTAGGCTCACTTTTTTAACCTCATTGCTCACATGTTACGATTCCTTCCAGAAAATTCACTGAAATTCTAATGCCCCTTGATGTTCCTTAGGTAACTTAGGAGTAACTCTAGTTATTAAGCAGTTATCCAGCTCTTCCCCTAACTAGTTGTATGACTTTCAGCAGGCTGCTTAATTTCTGCATGTCTCAGTTTTCTCAGCTGTAAAATGAATGATCCAACCCCTATGTCAGAAGGATGGGTGAGGCTCATGAGGAATAACACACATGAGAAATATGGGATGCTTACCACAGTGTTTGGTAAATAACATGAGTTTCCTTTTCCCTGTTTGAATAGTCCTTTCTATTCTGCTGAGAGCTTTCCTGTTCATGCTGCATCACAACCAAAAGGGGAAAGAATCCTGAGTCCTGTGCTCATTATTTCTCCCTTCTCTAGCTGGTTCAAGGCCAATCTAGATACCATGGTATTTTCTGAAAGAGTCCCACCCTTCTGTACAACACCCTTCCTCCCAAAGAGACTTGATATGACTGGTTAACAATACGATGAACACTCTGGAACAATCTAGAAGGGCTGGGGCTCATTACCCTCAGCCATTCTCCACCCATTTAGTCTCCAAGCCATTCCCTGGAAGAGACAAGTGGATCTAATGAGTGGGACTGTGCCATGAGACCTCCAGTATTCATGGAGAAGCCAGTCCTTTCTTCCTTCACCAGGCCTCAAGATTTCCCAGTGTGCCTCTATTCTTACATGAGGGATGGAAGTCTTTGCCTTCATACAGGAAGGAACTGGAGCCTCAAAGCAGACAGGACAAATACAAATCTTGAAAATGACCATGACTCCTAGTTGGTCCCTACTTGCCTCCTGGTTTCACTAGGTAGAGGGTCACTCCAGGTAGAGCCCTACCCAGCATGCTGCTCCTTCCCCTACCTTTAGACGTGGACAGTGGGTAGGCGGGCCCATAGCCTGGACCTGGACAGCTGTGTCCCCGCAACCAGACTCTTCTGATTCTGCCACGCCCCACTCTTTCCTACTTATCCTTTCCTAGATCCCTCTTATTCCATCTTTCCTGCTCAGGTCACAATGGACAATAATCTCTGATGCCTGTCCCAGCTAGATTGGCACTGGGGAGCTGAGAGAGCCTCCTGTCCATGGAGAATTCTGGCAGAGCTCCTCTCTTCAGCCTCCTCTCAACTCTCCATGGTCTGGTGCCCTTTGTCTGCCTCTCCCAGGCCTGACTCTCCTCCCACTTGCATGGACATTGTCTTTCCTAGCTCTGGGCTGCCTTCTCAGCCTCACGTTTTGCCCTCTTTCCTGCTGTGGCAGCCAGCCATCACTGTAATGCCTGAGTGCGGGGATGTGGTGTGAAGGGAACTTCAGTTCTGGGGTCAGAAGATTTAAAGTTTGAGACCTACTTCTGTCCCACAAGCTCTATAAAAACTAAGCCAAATAAATGACTTTGATACTCAGTTTGGAAACATTTGTAACATGAAGCAATCAGGCTTTTGATAAAGAATGGAAGAAACGATCATCCATGCTAAAGAAATGTTTGGAATGTTGAGATGCTATAGAATCCTTTTGACTGTGCTGCTGACTTTGTATACCTCTACATATAAATGTCTCCAGTTTTGTTTCTTTTCTACCATTCTGCAGACAAAGCTGAATGCAGGCAGCTGTTCACCCCTGGAGTCAGGCACTCTTATCTGAGCCCCTTCATCTTTGGTTTGGGGTAGAAAGCACAGGTGGCACCCTTTCTCTAGTTTTCTCATGTCTGGCACAAACTCTCATTTTCTGTAACCTAAGAAAGGATGGAAGACCTTGAGCCTCAAGAAAAAAGCCCCAAGACAATTCCATGCCTCTGCTTCCCTCGCAAATCAAAGCTGAGCTAGCCCAGAGCAGTTTGCATGATTCCTTAGAAGAAGGAACCTCACCAGGACTCTTAAAAGCACGGAGACCAATGAAGGATTGGGCTTCTGCACTTTTTCACTGTTGAGGTCCTCCCTGCCTGCTTCCAGACCTCTGGAGTGACCCACAGTCTTCTCTATTTACCTTAAACACAGAATCCAACCTCTTCATGTATGTGAGTCACCCCATCTGCAATTATATGTCCTGGCACACCCCAGCTCTCCCCAAACAAACTGTGAAGCATCAGCCCTACCCAAGGAATATGTCCAGCCATGCACACTTCAACCAACCCTCTCTGACCTTAGGATGAAACCATTTCTCTAACATTTTTTTTTTTCACTCACATTAGGATCAGTGTGTTGATTCAGAAGACCAAATTGGGAACGAATTTTAATCTCCCTACCTCGAGCAAATGGATGGCCTTTGGACTAGAGGGGTCCAGGTATTAAAGGGAGGCAGAAAGGGCTGGTCAATGGGCTACCATCCCCCCACCCCTTGGGAAGAGCTCACCTCCCTTCTCAAGTGGAGAGCCTCTGGCTCACTCTCAGCCCTCTGATCAGAGTCAGGCTCTCACTGAGTGATTTTCCTGGCACCTGGCAGTCTTCCCATCCTAGAAGGGAACAGTGGGAGGTTTTTGGTGGCAGCATTTGTGTCATTCCAGAGCACTGAATGTTAGATTTTGGCTGTTGGGCCAATCCTGGAACAAAGATGAAGGGTGAGAAGGATTAGGGAACCAATCAGTGAGGGGCAGGATGGCTATCCTCAGCCCAGAAGTGAAGTCTAGAATTATCCAGGTGCTTCCACCTATTATGGGGACTGTTGTGTACGTCAGAACATTCAGGGCATCAGGGGCTACAGAGGTTACCATGTACTCTCTGCCCCTTCCCTGCCTCCTTTCTTTGCTCTAAATCACGGAGACCAGTACTGATTTGGCAAGGGAATACCAAACCTCTTGAGATTTTCCCAGCTGGGACCCCGGCTCTGTACCTGTTTTTTTAACACTATTTTGACCATAGCAGTCTTTGGGAGTTGCTTGATGTCTGGGCTCTGGATTTCCCATGAAGTCAAGAATGATGGATTCACAAGGGCCCACCAGGAATATGGAGCCATGGTCCCATTAGAGTATAGAGAGCTACTCCCTGCCTTGGGTAAATCCTGAAATTCATCATGCATAATTTTGCTTGTAATAAGATTAATAAGAGCTTGAATAGATATTGAACAGGGGATCCTAAAACCCATTGAGGGAGGCTGGAGTAGACGACCTCTGATAGCTTTTGCCAGCTTTGAGAGTCTATGAGCTTAACATATGTAATATTATCATGAATATGCTATAATTTATATTAATTTAAATGATGCATATCATTAATACTAATGACTATTATGCTGCCTTTTCCAATCCAATATGTGATCTGTATAAGTACATAGTACTACAGAAGCATACTTACTGAAGTCGATACTTACCATTGATATCTTACCAAAAAGGAAACTGTGGCCAAGAAACAGGCTCTCAACCCAGATCCCCCAAACTAAACAGCCCCTTTCCCTCAAGAGCAACTGCACCTGCCTTGGGTTACTCAGGACCCTCTAGTTCTCTGCAACTACCCTTCTTCCAGGCCTGCTTTGTTCCCTCCACCACACCCCCTCTCAAGCTCCTAGGACAGCCAGAGATGCTTCCTTCAACCCCTGCTTGTCCAGGCACAGGACCCGAGTCCTTAATGTGCCCCTGTTAGATCCAAAGCCAGTCACTTTTCCATACCAGGTCTTAATTTCCTCTTCTGTAAAGTGACTCAAGATTTTGGAACTTAAAATCTGGTGAATTCTTCCAAGCACAGGGGCCATCTTATATTGCATGGCCTTTGGCCAATCTATCTGTTCATCTTTTCTTGGATAGTAGTTTTGCCAGATTTATAAGTTATCTTGAAATTAGTGAAAACAGACCAATCTTTGATAACCAGAGATCTAAAGCATCAGTTTATGTCCCTGTCCTTCAGGGTAATGTGTAAGGCCCTCAAAGGCATGCATAGTGTCTTTTACTTTGACTTTTATCTCTCTTGATACCATGCACAGTGCCAGGCACACAGCAGGTCAGCAAGAGCATGCTGAATGAGCACAAACGGATTTTGCCATCCGACAGAGGGCACAGATGTAGGGCCCTGAGGTTTTACTTCACAGCAAAGTGGAAACAATGTCAGATAGGTCAGCTAACAGAGGTCTCCATGGTTTGGAAAACAGGGTATCTTGGATGTAGCCTAGGAGATTCAAGGGAAAGAAAACTCATCCTTGCAAAGTATATGAATGTTAGTGCTGCTGTGGGGTGTGCTAGGGAGCACCGCTGAACACATGTTACAGAGGAGGTGCAGGAGAAGAGGGGGTGTGCTCATCACCAACTAACCAGATGGATAGCCTGGACGGATGGGCTGGGGCTGTGGGAGGTTGGTCAGTGGGCTGACTGACTGTGGGCCAGATGGGTTTGGGGATCCCATGGAGATGGGTGAAATTCCAGTTCCACTGTCTCAGCAGTAGGAAACCGAGCATGTGACTGTTGATGTCTTGGAAAGGACTAGATCATGAGATCTTCCTTGCTCCAATCCCAGACAGATTCCAGCATGAGATGGTGGAGGAGAATTCTGGTTCCAATCGCCAGGAGCACATTCAGCTGTTGGCTAAAGGGACCAGAAGATCAATTATCCCAACAATAGCAGGAAAATAACCAAGGAAGAGCCTGTAATCTGGGCCTAATTCCTCAGAATAGGTGAGCAAAAGAAAGATGCCACACGTTATACAAAATGAGAACATGGGGAAAGATCATTGAACCTGTCAGAAGTTCCTAAATAGCTATGATAGGGGTCGCAGGGTAGCCTTAAAGGTAAAAGCTAGCTCCTCTCTTTGGTCTGGGGAAAACATGCCAGTTTCCCTCCAATAGAAGCTTTGGGGAAGGGAAACCATGAGCCTTGTAAACACTGACTGACTGTGAGGTACAGAACCTTAACTGAGATGATGGAAGCTACAACCTTTGGTTTAAGGGCTGAAAGCACAAATAGATATTTTTAAACTGTGAAAGTGACAGTGTTCCTTTTAGATATTGGGGTAGTAACCTGGATGGGCCTGATTCTATCATGCAAAGGTGGAAACCTCAGGTATTTACCTGTGGGAAGCCTTCTTGTCACAACAAATGTTTCTTGCTGCCAACTGCGTCACATGGAAAGGCTGGTTTTGATACTCTAGGTGGAATCTTTAAAACTGTGCATTCAGATTTTGAGTGCTGCCTGCCAATAGTCTCTTCTTTTGAAGAAGTATGTCTATTTTTCTAGACAGCAGTTTGCAGAAATCCCAATGGTTGCAAGAACAGAGGAAGCCCCACCCAGCTTGCTGAAGCCCTGAGACCTTCACTGCAGGCACATTGAGAACAGAAGACACAGAAGTACTCAGGCTGTACTTACGAAAAATCAAGACTCACAGACTTTTAAAGAAAAGTTAATTTGCCTTTGAGAAGGGGGAAACCTGAGACAGTGACTGTTGCCTAACCTGGCTGACAATTATATCCCTTAACAAAAAAGTGTTCCTAAGGTCTTTTGGAATTTCAACACTGTAACGATGAAAAAATAAAAAATTCTCTTGAGGGAAACCTGAGGGATATGTCATTATCAAGAACGTGGGGAAAGGGCTCGAACTGTTTTTCCAGAAAGCCTAATAATCAACTAGGCAAATATTGTATCAGCTATCTCACTTCTGCAAAAGATCGAAGAGCTGGAGGCTTCTGTATATCAGGAAAGAGGATCTGGGTAGGTATCATCCCTGATAGGGACAGAGTATTAAAATAGAAAGAGGCAAGAAGATGGGTTTTGCCTCTGGAGCAAGCTGATGTCAGGCTTTTTATCTTAGGGGGAAGAAGTTATAGGCTCCTGGGGCAGAGGAGCCCAGACAAGACTGGAGATGGAAGGTTCATTCAACAAGTGACCTCCTAGAGGTCACCAAGAGGGGAGAAGGGGTGACCACAGGGTGGGGTGGGGAGTGCAGTCTGAATCCTGAGGAATTTTCCTGGCTGGGGGAGGGAACGTGTTTTAAGGCAAGGAGGGCCAGAAAGGCCGGTGTATGGTCAGAAGGAACCGATTCACCAAGGTGCTCTTGCCTGGAGTTAACATTCTGAGGATTCTAGCAGATCTTAGGCTAATCAAGGGTTTCCCGATTAGGCTACAAACGTGAATCATTCAGTCAATATAAAATACAATCTATTAACAGGTTGATGGGAAGAAGAAAGGATAGGGGCGGCAGTGTAATGTCATGGGAAGAACTAAGGCTTTGCAGCCAGACTTAACTGTGTGACCTTGGGCAAGTTACTTAACCCCTCTGAGCTTCTGTCCCTTCATCTATAATATGGGCATAATACTATCTACCTAAAAAGGCCTTAGTGATGATTCAGTGAGAAACATATGTGAAGCAACAAGCACAGTATCTGGAAGCTGTAGGTACTCAACAAGTGTCAGTTTCCTTCCTCTTCTAAGCTGTGCTTTCAAGTCAATTGTATGTCTAGAGTCACACTGTCCAGTACAGTGGCCAGTACTAGCCACATATGGCTCTCAGGTACTTTAAAGAGGGCTAGTCTGAATTGATATGTGCCATACATGTAAAATACTTTAAAGAGGGCTCATCTGAATTGATATATGCCATACATGTAAAATACAAACCAGATTTCTAAAACTTTGTACCAAAAAATACTATAAAATAACTTACTAATAATTTGAGTGATTACATGTTACAATAATATTTTGGATATATTGAGTTAAAATATAAGATTAAAATTAATTCCACCTGTTTCTTTATGTTTGATTCAACATGGCTACTAGAAAATTTAAAATTACAGTGTGGCTCACATTTTATTCTACTGGACATTACTGATCTAGATACTAGAAAAGACAAGGTTGGGAAGCTGTGTTCCAGAAGCACGTTTGTTTCTATATCTTGGGTTTGGGTTTTGGTTTGTTCTCCCACGGTTTCCCAGTAAAAGACCCTTTTGAAAAAAATAGTATCCAGGGCTCAACCAAAATGGGTAGAAGATACCCACATGCCCCTAGTTGTCAGGCGCTGTGGTGACCACAGTCCAGGAAAAAGTAGGTAGGGCTGGCATATCAGAGAATGGAGATGTCAGGTAGGACAGTCGGGACAGCTGGGGATGGACTGTTCTTTTCTTAGCCTGAAGCTTCACTTCAGATTTCTCTACCTTTCTTTACCCTGGGAGGATGATCCCATTCTCTATTATTTCAGAAGATTCCCCCACCATATACATGAACTTGGCAAGAAGCAGGCTCCCACCAGGCAGTAACAAACACAGGTGCAAGAGAAAATGCCACTTCAAAGCCATCTTTAGAAAACCCCAGAGTTTCCAGAGAAATGAACAGCAGACATTCACAGACATAAGAATGTTCTTTTTTTTCTCCCGCCCAAGGAGTGTGGTTAGTGGTTGTTTTTAAAACTGTACATTTTACTGTACATTTTTTTAAGCAAAGGAGAAGATTGGCATTTATATTCTGACCACAGGGATGCTGCTTTCCAAAACTCCAAGTCAGAAACATGACAAACACAAGAGCAAGTACATATCATGTCACGACAGAACTCGGAGCCGCTGATGAGAATAGACAGTGAGTTGGTTCCTTCCGCTGTTCACCACCTTCCCTCTGTGTGTCTGAATCCAAAGGCAAAAAAGAAAGCTGGTATTTGAGACCACTTCCACAATGGCTATAGTTTGAAAGGATGAATGAGAAAGATGAGGAGGGATAAAAGAGAAGAGGAAAAAACAGGAAGGGAAAAGAGAAAGGGTGGAAGAGACTTCCTTTCAAGTTACCCAATTCTGTGGGTGCTTCTGTGACCATAGAAGGGATGTGCTCCAGCCCTGGGACTGGCCTGGAAAATTGTTATAACTTGAGGTCTCAGGAGGAACTGGCCTGGTCTGTTAATGACCTTGTCAGGACCAGAAAGGGACTGGGAAAGGCAGAGAGTAACAGGAAAAAAAAAAAGAAGAAGAAGAAGAAGAATGAAGAGAAGAGAGGGGAGGGAGAAGTGAGGAAGGAGGAAGGCCTGGGATTTGGAGACTCTGGAACTAGAGCCAAAGGTAATTCTGCATAGACGGTTGCAATCCCTCCTTGTGTGTTCCAGAGTGGGGTTGGGGGCCAGCAGCTCAGCTCCAGGTCTGAGGCCATTGGAACTTTTTGGCCCAGAATGGTCTTGCCTGTATGCGTTGTGGGCTGTGTGGATGGCAAGTGGAAGAAGGAAGAACAAAAGAGAGAAAAGAGAGGTCTATGGAAGGAGTTGGGAGAGGAAAGAATGAGTTGGAGAGACTGAGGGAGAGGTAGTGAGTTGCTGATGAGTAGACACCGGACAGGGATGCAGGGGAAGGTCATTCCAATCTGTCTACAGCAGGTTCTCTGGGGGCACATCTCCTCTTCCCCTTCTCTTGCCACTGTCTGGCAGGGAGGGGTTATCCCTAGATGGAAAGGAGCCTATGCACCCCTCCCATTCCACCCTGTAATTTCCAAGGATGGACCTTCCTCAAGAAACCAAGAGCAGGCATCCCCTCATCCCACCTTGAGCCACTTTCTTAAAGAACAAACATGGGGCAGCCTTTGGACACAGAAATGCCCTAGGCAGGGTGAAAACAGGGTCATGGATCCCAAACACCACTGCCAGGAGGCAGGTGGCCTTGGCTCCTGCCCTGACCTGGTCATGAACTCACTGTGTGACCTTGGGCAATTCCCTTATGCTCTGTGGAAGGGAGAGGGAGGGTTAAAGATGGGATGATTGCAAAGACCTCCCCAAGCTTCAAAAGCCTATTATTCTAAAAAGATTCAACTTCCCCCCTCCAAGGCTTCTAGAATTCTCTGTGCCCAGTAAAAAGGACGGGGACTGCTGTAACCAGCTTGTGCTTCTCGTATCACTAAGCGAAAAGGCCTAACATCTAGAGTCATGAAGAATTAATAGGCCCATAGAACTGGAAAGGGACTGGAGACCTAATACAATCCCAGTATTTTTGCAAAGTGGCAAATTCAGGTACCAACAGATAAAAGGGTCTTGCCCCAGTTACTCAGCAGGCTCTTCATGTGACTATGGACACATGAGCTTTGGACTCCAAGTCCACTGCTCTTTCTGCCACCCACACTGCTTTCCTTAAGAGAAGCCCTCCTGGCCTGCCACATGCTCAAGGGGGACTTTCCATGTCAGCTTCCCAGAAAGAGTGGCAACAAGCCCAAAGCAACTCCGGAAGTTAAGATCCCTTGTGCCCTACAACATGAAGCCCTCCTCCCTCCCCACACATAAGAACCCAGGAAGTTACTCTTCTGGTTCAAACTTCTGTGATAGGTGTGGCATGTCATGTTTGAGAAGCAAAGGAAACTAGGTCAGGTATTAGGGGTCAGTCACTCACCCCTTCCAGTGTCGGGTGTGGGGGTGGTTGGGAGTAATGAGAGCTCTGGGCAGGGAACCCCATAGTTTTCCCCAAACAAGTGTGGAAACAGAATAATTCCCTCCTCTTGTCAATTGGCAACAATTACCCAGTACCAGGGCTGCTGGGAACACGCATTCATATGTACGATTAACTCTCGATTATCCGTGTGAATGAAGAGGAGGAGTCTGGGAAATGGAAAAAAATAAATTAAGAAATAAAAACAACACTAGACCCATAAGCAATCCAAAGCCGCTTGCTTGTAGGCTACATTTGTGATTAGAAAGGCGGAGTCTCGCCTTTCCAAACACTCAGGGCTCAGTCCGGTATTTGAGCGAGTCCGCATTCCCTGAGCACACCCCGGCCGGGTGGTGGGGAGGTGATATGGGTGTTGGGGGTTGGGGGGGGGAACACGAGGCCATTGACAGGGAGACGAAACTGTCCCTGGATGTAAACATCACCATGGAAACTCCACAAACACTTGCCAGTGAGATTCTTTCCCCTTCTTCTCCCACCCTGCGCGCAGGAAAGGGAGCATGCCCACCCCCACCTAGACCGTGCTCTCCATCACCCACTCGGAGCTGCCAAAAGTCCCTCGGGCCCCCACCAGGTCACTCTCCTCGAAGGGCAAGAGCATGCCATTGACAGAGAGGCTGCGCTTCGTCCAGATGTTCGAGACCCTCCGAGGGGGACTGTAGCCGCCGGGCACTACCCCTCCCGCCGCCGCAGCCGCAAAGTCCCCCATGTCGAAGGAGTGACTGCGTTTGGCCTTGCCCTCCAAGGGCAAGGGGAGCAGGCTCCTGGCCCGGGCCGCGGGCGGCCCCAGCAGTGGCTCTCGGTCCGAGTGGTGGCCCCTGGCTGACGTCCCAGCCCCTCTCCCGGCTGGAGTCCTGGAGTCCAGCAGCTCCTCCTTTCTCTGACTCTTGAGGTCCAGGGAGGCGAAGGCCCCCATCAGGCGGTCAAGGCTGGGCTTGGGGCGCGGGGCGGAGGGTGGGAGCCTCCAGGGGGCCCGTCCCAGACCCGCGGCCTCCCCACTGCCCAGGGAGCTGGAGGAAGAGGAGTCACTAGCGCGGGCCAGGCTGGCGGTGAAGTCCAGGAGCTCGTTGCGCACCACCACCTTGGGCGGGCCCTGAGGCGGGGCCCCGGCAGGCGCGCTGCTTGGAGGCGGTGGCTGGGCGCCGTTGGTCTGCGAGTACACATTGCTGACGGCCGCTGCCATCTTACTGGGGGCCTCGTGGTTGCAGACCTTGTAGCGCACCATGAGGATGACGATGAAGACCAGGAGCGTGGCCACGATGATGCCCCCGATGACCAGGATCATGGTGCCGCCCAGTATCTGGCTGTGCATGGACTGGCACTGCGGGTAGTCAGCCTTGGTGAAGAACTGGGCGCAGCCCACGATGTTGGTGGCCGTGAGTGTTGTGGCTGTGTCATCCCACATGGCCAGCACACACAAGTCGTAGCCAGTCCCAGACACCAGGTTGTTGACCACGAAGGCCTTGTTGGAGGCTGGGATCATCCTGGGGAGGGAGGTGGACACAAAGAGTGAGGGGTGGTGGGGTGGAAGGACAGGGGGAGGGGGAGGGGACAGAGGGAGAAACAGAGTGAAGGGGGAGGGGGAGGGAGGCCAAGACACGCACAGGGACACAGAGAGAATAGGGCAGAGGGAAAGTAAGGGACAGGGGTGAAGAGACACAGAAGAAGAGAGATGAAGAGACAGAGGAGAGGGGAGGAGAGAGGGGCAGGAGCAGGCAGGTGACAGGAATAGGGTATAGGAAATGAGAAGAAAGAGATGTGAGGAGGGAGACCCAGACAAGGGAACCAAGGGATGGGTTGGGGTGGAAAGGAAGGTGAGAGAGGGAGATTCAGGGATGGAGCATCAGGGAGAGGTATAGATGGAGAATGTGTCAGAGACCGGGTGAGAGAAAATCCAGATATATGGAAACAAAAACACAAAAAGACAATGAGTATGAAGATGAAGGGAATGAGAAGGGGGGTAGTTGAAAGCAGAGAAAAGGGGAGGCATTTAGAGGTGGAGGGAAAGAGGAGGAGGGGGAGAGACTCAAGCAGAGTTGAGAGGACACACAGGGACAGGCAGAGGGAGAGACAGAGAGGCAGAGAGGTTAAAGTGTGAAGAAGCAGAAATTATACAAAGGGACACCCGCTACCCTCCTCCCTCATACCTGCTACAAGTATTCCCTCCGTCTCTGGGAAGGGTGGGGTGAGAGGTCAGCCCTGACCCTGTGCCAGCCCACTCCAAGGCTCGCTCCAGCCCTCCTGTGACCTCTGAGATTCGCAGGGATCCCCATCAACACTTTCTGAGCCTTCTTTCTGGACCAGGTGCTGTGCTGTGTCAGAGACAAGATCCTGCCTGGAGAGGCCAGCACCACCCTCACCTCCAAAGGGCTTTCTCATGACTCAGGAGGGAGAGCATTTGCTGCTGCAGACTGAGGGAGAGGGGGTCTAAGCGGAAGAGGAGTGGAGGCAGGAGAAGGGGGCCTGCCGCTTAGGGGGGGAGGGACAGTGCAGTGTGAAGGACTGGGGGGCACTTCTGCATCCCAGAAGAAAGGGACGATACCTTGGTCCTAGTTGTAGTAGCCCAGGCTCAGCCAGGAAACCTAGGGGAAGAGTTTCTTTAGTAGAAGACTTTAACTGCTCCTTCCACCTTAGGGGAGGGTCTGATGGGGAAGTACTCTCCCCACATTGTGGCTGATCCTCTCCTGCCTGGACCTGCTCACTCTGAACTCTAGAACCTTGTGACCTTGTTAAGCCTGGATGCACACCCTGAACTCTAAGACCCTTTTTGAGGTATCATGCCTTCTGCTGATTCCAGAGATGATGCCTGTGTCACTTCCATAAACACTCCTGAAGAAATACCCAGGCTTGAAGGTACCACTGTGTAGCTTTCTTGGTATTTCCTCCACTCCCGTTCTCCTATTCCCTACTACTTGAGAATGAAAGGGCTCTATCAGCTCCCATCAACCCCTCAAACCTAGAGCTGGGCAACTTAATTAAGATATCAAATATGAAATACTGAAGTCTGAAAACTTCCACCTGGGATCCTCACACAGAGGACTGGAACTGACAGGCAGATATTGACATCCCGTCAGTGGGCAACCCCAGTGGCTGCTGCCTCCCTCCTCACCTGCCCACCTGCTCTTTTGCTAGGGAAGCCACACTGGAGGAAATTGAGCCCCCAAGGCCCAACTGATATGGTCTGGCTGTGCCCCCACCCAAATCTCATCTTGAATTGTAGCTCCTACAATTCACGTGTGTTGGAGGGACCTGGTGGGAGGTAATTAAATCATGAGGACGCGTCTTTCCCATGCTATTCTCATGATATTGAATAAATCTCATGAGATCTGATGGTTTTATAAAGGGGAGTTTCCCTGCACAAGCTCTCTTCTCTTGTCTGCCTCCAGGTAAGACATGCCTTTCACCTTTTGCCATGATTGTGAGGCCTCCCCAGCCATGTGGAACTGTGAGTCCATTTAACCTTTTTCTTTTTTTATGTAAATTATCCAGTCTTGTGTATGTCTTTATCAGCGGCGTGAAAATGGACTAATGCACAGCCCCCCCGCCAGCACAGTGTTTGGGGCAGAAGAGGCCAGAGGGGTTAGGAGGGGTGGATCCAGCAAGGACCCTGCAGCCAGCCCCACAGGTCTATCTGAAGACTTCAGAGCCAGTTTCCCCTGGGCATCATGACAGTCCTGTAAAGGCAGTGATCAGTACTCCCATTTCACAGAGAAGAAATGGCCGAGACTCAGAGAGGGTAAGTGATTTGCCTGAGGTCACAAGCTTGGACTGCTAGTATGCAGCAGTTGAGACTTTTAACACTAGCTTCTGGGTCCATGGTCTGGGCTTGTTCCTCATTGTGTGACAGACATGGAAGCATTTTTCCTCATTTCAGTGAAAAGTTCACCCTGGCCTGTGGTTGGTCAACCACCTTCATCCCTGGAGCAGCTTAGAGCCTGCTGTGGCTCACGCTCCTCTACTGATAGGATGTCCTGCCTGCTGGGCCATCTGCTGGGCAGGGCCTAAGGAGCCCTGTATGGCCAACGCTGCAGGGGACACTCGAGTCCTCCAGGGCCTCGTTCCTTTCCCCTCAGGGCTAATGATGTAAGTTGAGAAGGCAGGAGCTAAGCACACCCAGAACAGTGACAGCAGCAAGAGCAAACACCAGCTGGTAACTGTGTGCCATGCTCTGTTTTAAGTGCCCTATGCCAACTCATTTAGGCCTACAGCAACTCCCCGACACAGCTGCCATCATAATCCAGATATTTCAGATGGGGAAACAGAGGTGCAGAAGTGTTAAGCAAAGATAACATGGCGGAGCTGGGATTAAATCCCAGGGAGGCCACCTTCAGTCTTCTCTGAACCACCGCATTCCACCATTTTGCTGGGTCGCAGTGATATAAGAGCATGTCCACTTGAGAGGTGGATGGACACCCTTGTTTACTGAATACCTGTTGTGTAACATAGGTTTCCACATTCATGATTGCATTGAACACAGCCACCCCAGGACACCAAAGATGTACTACAAGCCCAGAAATCTTCTTGAGATTTAGCCACCTTCTCCTGGGAAGCAGACCACACTATTACTACTATTACTACTACTACTAATAGCAACAAAATAAGAAGAACAGCTAACATGAGGGCTTACTCTGTGCCAGGCACTATTGTGAGATATTTAAGGGGATTAAGACTCATTTAATACTCCCTAACATTGTTGGGAGGCAGTTATTGTTATTCTCATTTTCACTTAACGGATAAGAAACTGAAGCACAGAAAGGTTAAGCTACCTGCCCAAGGAGGCCCAGCTAGTAAGTTGGCAGAGTGGGATTCAAACCAGGCAGTTTGGCTCCAGGGCCTCCGCACCTGACCACGGGGCCATGCTGCCTCTCAGACACTGCCCCATCTACCTGCCCTTCCTGGGCAACTTTGTGTGGAAACCTGCCTGGCCTCCCCAACTCCCCTTTGCTCCCAAACTCAGAGAAAAATCATAATGTGGTGAAGCCACCTCCTAATGTGATGAAGCTGCAATTGGGTTGTGCTGCTGATGGAGGTGTAACAAGGCAAGGCTGATTCTTGGCGGGCCACTGGCACCTGGATGAAGGGTCAGGTCTGGAACAGTTTTGCACTGTAACTGGCCCATCAGAAACAAGGCCAGCAGGAAAAGCCTGCCAGGATGAAGAGCAGAAAGGCAGAAGGCGGCTCCTGATTCCTCTGCTGTGTGTGTGCGTGTGTGTGTGTGCGTGTGTGTGTGTGTGTGTGTGTGGCAGTAGGAGGAGCTGGGGTGACTTAAGGAGAGCCAGAGCCAGCTAACTCAAAACAGCCCTAGCGGGCAAGGTCAAGTTTGCCTTTTCTAGTAACAATAATAACCAGTATTCGCCTATTGTGCTGGCATGTTTACACGCCTTATCTCATTTAAGATCCTGACAACCCTCTGAGGAAGTTATTCCCATTTAGAGAAGGAGGAAGCTAAACAGTTTGAACTTTCCCTTGGAGGAATGATGGGGCTGAGACCAGATCAGGTCCACTGGGACCCAGAGCCCACACCTCTTAAAAGCAAGACCACTGCTGCCTCCAGGCAGCCAACAGACAAACTGCATGAGAAAGTCACAGGAAATGGGCACTCCAGTGAAAGATAGAGAATTCATCTCTGACCTGTGTCCCCCTGTCTATCTCATCATCCAATCCTACGAAACCATCCACTGATCCTCCAAGCTGTATCTGGGGAGCCTGGATTTCCCCCTTCACTCCTGCTCACAACCCATCACTCTGGCTGGTAGATTCTACCTTTTGAACACCCTCTGCCTTCCAACTCCACATGCAGTGTTAGCTTAGGGCTCTCCATTTCTGGTCGGGATGGACTCAGCAACCTCCAGTCAGGCTCTCTGCCACAGATTGTGCTCCCTGAAAGTGCATTCTCAGCACCACACCATCTCGAGTGCTCCACCTAAAACACAGCTCTGGCTGTGTCCCCTGCCTGCTGAGATGCTTCCAGTGCTGACTACGGTCTACAAGAGACAGTGCAAGCTCTTTAGCTGGGCTCCAAAGCCAGGCTGCTGTCACATTGTTGTCCTTCTACCCACACAGCCTCTAACGCTGCCCACATTCTTAAAAACTTGCCCAGGTAGGAAAACACTGCAGAATCAGCCGGGGCCTGAGCGGGCAGATGGCACTTCCTAGAAGGATAATTAAAGAACTTATTTATCAAGGGACTAATTGTAAAGAGGCAAGAGGTTATGGGGGATCACAAGGGAATGTGCAAGAACCCAGAGCTAATAGCAGCCAAGAGCCGAGCTGTTGCCTCTGCCACACCCCCAGGAGAGAGAAGCACGTAGGCCAGTGCTACTCGTAGTGTGGCTCACAGACGGATGCCGGCCCATGGACAGTTTGTTCCTGCTCCATGATCAGACACTACAGAAGTCAAGAGTAAGCATTAAGGCTTTATAGCAATTTGGCATTGGTTGTCACATTCAAGTGCGTGATGATTATTTCTGATAACTTAGTTCTAGTCTTACAAAAGCACTGGCCTGCAACAGAGTGGGGAAAATTGAAGCTGCTCCTTCACAATGAATAGCTTGAGGAGCCCTGGGCTAGTGCAGGCTTTCTCAGCCCCGCCACTGTTGACACTTGGGCTGACTATGTCTTGGTTGTGTAGGGCTGTTCTCTGCATCGTAGGAGGACAATCCCAGGACACCCCTGGGCTCCACCCACCAGATGCCAGAATACACCCACAGTGTGACAAGCTAAAATGTCTCCAAGCATTGCCCAATGACCTCTGGGGGCAAAGTCACCCTCCACTGATGCACATTGGTTTAGAGAATTTGGTTGAGAGACAGAAGCTGCCAGGGGCAACCTCACAGGGTGAGCGCCAGACAAAGAAGTAGCCGGACCTCACTCTTCTCTGCCACCGACCTTCTGCTGCTGCTCTGCATGGCTGAACCAAACTAAAAGCCAGGTTCACAGGCACATGCAGGTCAGGCTTCCAGAGTGCAGAGCAAGGCAGACGAGGGGAGAGTGGATCCCGAGGGACAATAGACAATAAATGGCTCAACCGTCAGGTCAGTCATGGGCCTCTCGGTGAAAACCACATCCCTGAAATCCTGAGAGATTTCTTTTCATCATGTAAACTACCAACATCTCTGTTAGCAGAAAACATGAATTGCTATTTTAAGTTAAGCTGTTCCAATGCGTTAAATTTAATTAAGCTCACACACTCTAAAAGACAATTTGAAACTGCAACCCCAAGCACTTACTCAGGAAACACAAAACAAACCTAAGTGACTGCCTCTGGATTGTTTTTCTTTTTATTTCTTTTTCTGTTAATATTATTTTGGCACTGTTCATTCAGTTTAACACTAGCACACAAATCTACAGTTGATACCAGAGGTCTATGAAATCACAGGCACATACTGTGATTCTACTGTGGGCTCTCGAATCTGTTCTCCGCCTTTCACCTGCTTGCCTCTGCTCTGTGGGGAACTACATTTCCCAGGCTACCTTGCCTGTTTTCCGAGCCCTCAGGCTGCCAGGTGGAGGTGGCCAATGGAGGCACTGGAGAGAGACTGGAGGGCCGGAAGAGGGGAGAAGCCAGGTATCTCTTCTACTTTTTCATCTCCAAGTGGTTTCGCCCTGTCAGGCACTGAATCTCCTCTGTGATTCCAGCTGCCAGGGTTCCAGCTCCTGCTAGACACATTAGGATCTTAGTCACTGGCCATGCCATCTCCTCCTGTGTCCTTCTAGCCTTGGATGGGGATGGGTGGGTGGTGGTGGCTTCCAGCTGTTGCTAATCTCTATAGTGCCTCCCTGTCCTGCCCCCCACCCACTGCTCCTGTACCCACTGTCCCCACCTGTTGTTGACCTCTGAGCAGCTCCATCATCCCTAAAATCCAAACCCTGTACT